AAAAGTATGTTCAGTAAAACCTCTATCGTAACTCCGATTGCGCCTACACGTTCCTACCGTCGAATACTTCGAGAATACGGTAGAATAATAGTTCATACACGTCACAGAAATACGGTCAATGAAAGTCAACAGTCTAGCCTCTAGAGCATTTTTGTCAATTCTCTTTTTTAAAATTAATAAAATCGTAAAATTAGGGATGAGTTTTTACAGATTTGACTGCAGTTGCAAAAACAGAAATAGAAATGCATATGTATGAATATCTAGCCAATATAGGTTTTGCCCTAAGTGCTCTTTGGAAAGAGGTTATAATACTTCTTAAGATTCTAGGGACATAAATGCGGTCAACGAAAGTCAACAGTCTAGCCTCTACGGCATTTTTGTCAATTCTCCTTTTTAAAATTAATAAAATCGTAAAATTAGGGATGAGTTTTTACAGATTTGACTGCAGTTGCAAAAACAGAAATAGAAATGCATATGTATGAATTTCTAGCCAATATAGGTTTTGCCCTAAGTGCTCTTTGGAATGGGTCGCCCCATGCGCCAGCCGTGATAAAAAAAAAGGAAGAAATTCACATGACTGGTGTCATGTAGGGTGGTTTCTTGCTAAGTCCATTTTGTGTTGGGCTCGAAGTTGGCCTCCACTTTAGGCCAGCTAATTGGACGGGGTGGAGTGGATTTTCAAAGAGCTAGGGGGAAAATGGGCTATTGCCCATCTCATTAGTTAGGGATGGACGTGCTCTTATAGGCGCATGAATTCCTCAAAATCTCAACTGCAAAATCCTTTCGTTTTCTCTCCTCTTCTTGTTTTTTAAGTCTTCCGTTTCCTTTCTCTTTTCCATTGTCGTAACTACACCTTAATTCTTTGGGTTAGAACTGTAGCGAGTTGGCAGCCTCGTGAAGGCTAGGTTGAAAGCTCTGCCCATAATCCCTCCTTTCATGCACCAAATCTCTCCTTTCCTGCACCAAATCCCATAACAAAGCTCCATCTTTAGCTATGCTTCTACTCCGTTTTCTTCCTTGGTTTCTGCATGAGCTTAAAATGGTAAGTTTCTTCATGCACGTTAAAACAAGGTGCGGGACTTAAGGTTGGGCTATGTCAATGCATGAATCTAGGCAAATTGGGTTTTGAATATGGTTGAAATGTTAATATATTAATTTTATAAGCTTGTTTCAATATGACCTGGCATAATGAATATACGTGCTGCATGGGCTTAGTGTGATTTTCTGAATGTCCGAATTATCATTTCTATTGTCATGGCGTGATTATGAATTTGCATACCCCTTGTTTTGCACTATACGCATGAATGCAAGCTTTGTGATGAATATATGATGATTGTGCTTCCAAGTATTATTGGGCTTCTTAGTAAATTTTTGGGCCCTAACAAGAAGTAATAAAATTAAAACAAGAAAGTGGCGTTCAATGAAGAAAAGTGTTTGGAAAATTGAAAATTTCAGGGTTAGAAGATTATTTGTTGTTGTCATATCTCGAAAGTTAATGTTCTAGACTTTTCAAGTAGCTTGACAAGCAAAAAAAGAAAGAAGAGTCAATTTTGACAAATCTCTAGGTTTCTAGTCTCAAGACTTGTTCACCAGAAACTTGCACCTAAGTTTCGGAATTATTGGTCTTGGGACCATTCTGCTAGAAACATTTATTCCGTATTTTTTATATTTTAGGGAAGTCTTTAAAATTTTAATTATTCCTATTTTATTTTCCTTTTGTAGCTACTAGCTACTAGCTAGTGTTTGCTAGGACTATATAAACAACTTTTAGGGTTGAATTTCAACAATCTATTCATTTGATTATCAATTCAACTTTAGAGTTTTCTCAATCTTCAGGTGGATTCCAAATTGCTAGTGGACTTCAGCTTGTGATCTAGGATTTGACGATGATAGGTCCTAGCTATTTCGTTTCTCGTTGTGTTAGTTATCAACTCTCTGATTATCTAATGACCCATTTTCATTTAATACTATGACCAAAACCTATTTATGAATAATACTTGCATTCCACATGAGGGAAATCCAAAATACTCACCCTTGCAAATAAGGTATTTTCACCGTATACATTCTTTAATCGAAACTGTACAAACATAATCTTCATTTGAAAATCATCCTTACAAAAAATTAATAAAATGAGAGATCATTTTTTGTGGTTTTGATACCTTTACTATACCAAAAATCTCATGCCAATTACCATATCAAACTTTTCATATATCAAAATTTGGCATAACAAATGAATTGATTGGCATGGGTTAGACTATTTTATTTAAGCGCGAATCTTTTTTTATTTTCTTAAAGTCCAATTTATTGATTACTTTTGAGGCCAAATATGACAGTTGGATTTTGACACACTCCGACCCGGAATGTCCACCTAGACCCCGAATCGAGTTGTGCTGGCCGACACCAAAAGGGTGACGAAACCATAAAGTGTGGTGATGTGGAAAATGTGAGTAAATTTAAATCTAAAAGTGCCTAAATGGAAAAGTGTGCATGTGAGTGTGAATGAATCCATTTCACACGTGATGTTAGAGCATAAGTAAAGTACAGTAAAAGTAGAATAAGAATTATACCATTGAAGGTACTCTCCTATACCAACTTTTGCCAAGAATCCTTGTCGACACGTAAGCTCTACTACTAAAACTTGGAGAGGAGAAAAACAAGGGTGAGTGGACCTAAAAATAAAACTTTGTAAAGCCTTTTTGAAAACGTAATAACCCCTCGCCATAAAACAAGTATAGTTTCCAAATATATACTACATATAGCATGAAAATATTTACCGTAGCCAGCAATATCACAAGAATGCAATACGTCGCAATATTGCGTAAATAAACATATAACGACCGATATCACATAATCTCGCATAAGCAAACATATCATATCGAGTGCTCATCGACATATGCTGACATACGAGTTCATGTAGAGATATTTTGACCAGAACATGGCTAGGTGTAATAATGATTTACGCTCTAGTACTACAATCACGTGAAGACTGGAGCTATGTGCATCACATACGAGTCCTAATTGCCTATAGCAATCTAGGACAGGACTGGCACCTACAATGGATCCAAAGTGAGCATGCGGTACGATGTGAACATTCACATGAAGACTGGCCCTGGCCCGGGCAAGTACTAACACTAGTGTAGCATACAATGAACAAATAAAGTAAATATGATCATGCCATAATAATTCAACACTTCTAGTCAATATAACCCTATTCCTGGTCGTAAATATAATTAAGGCATCCCCTTATGGTATGCTTATATATACACATATATATACATACTATATAAAAGAAAATACTCACTCACAGATACTTGCAAGGTTGTAGCTGTTCTGACAAGAGAAGCCGGAATCTTCGATAGTAATCGATTCTAAGCATAATATTGGGTGTCGTTAGTAAGACTCAATTGAAACAATTAAATTTGGGAAAATAGAACGTTGAAATATGCTAACAAGGGTCCCGGACAAATTTCATAAAAAGTCAACCAAGACGCCAAACCGGTCAACTACGTTAAAACTTAGAAATTTGACTAAATAGATGTCAAAAAGGGACTCGGGACGTCAAAATTAGCCTAAGAGGGTTTCCAAGAAAATTTCACTCTAAATTTAAACCAAAATAAAGACAAAAGGACGAGGGAATCAAATCTACCTTACCCAAGTAAAATAAGTGGCCAAAGAGGCCTGAAAATCACCTGCAAGAATTGCGGCTCTTGACGAAAAATAGGGAATTAGTTTCCCCGAGTTGGTTCTGCGATCAAACATCATTTAAAAATCCTCAAAATTGGCCTAATCGTACTCCAAAACAAGATCTATGAAGTTCTAGAGGGTTTTCGAACCTTACCTTTGTCGAGAACGGCGAGAATTCGCGTGAATATCGTTGGAAAAGAAAAACGTGAACAATGGCCTCGAGGAAAAGAGTAAGTGGTGCTGGTTCGACATGGGGGAGAAAACGACGATGGTGGTGCTGGCCTGGGTCATCGAGTGGTATAGCTCACTGGAGTTAGGGACATCGAGGGTGGTCCGGTGCCAGTGCTTGCAGAGATGGACGGAGGGCTAAGGGAGTCCAAGAGAGCAAAGGGATAGAGAGAAGTTGGGAGAAAATAGAGAGAGATCCAAGTATTTTTTGGGATGAGTGACACGTGGCAAGAAATGAGAGGAGAGTTTGGGTGAGATGTGGATCCCACGGCCTAAAAAAAATATTAAACATTAAAATAACAATATAATAATATAATATTTATGAGAAATATATAAAATATAAAATAGTAATTTTCACCAAAAGTAAGTTCCGTAAAACCGCTATCGTAACTCCGATTGCGCCTACACGTTCGTACTGTCGAATACTTCGAGAATACGGTAGAATAATAGCTCATACACGTCACAGAATGGCGGTCAACGAAAGTCAACAGTCTAGCCTCTAGTGCATTTTTGTCAATTCTCTTTTTTTTAATTAATAAAATCGTAAAATTAGGGATGAGTTTTTACAGATTTGACTGCAGTTGCAAAAACAAAAATAGAAATGCATATGTATGAATTTCTAGCCAATATAGGTTTTGCCCTAAGTGCTCTTTGGAATGAGGTTATAATATTTCTTAAGATTCTAGGGACAGATGTAGTCAAGGGGATGGCAAATTATTAATAAGAAAATAAAACGATCGAAACACGGCCAGCCTTGAGATTTCAGCAACTCTATGAGAGAATTTTCCAATTTTTGGTTGCCATATAATTGTTTCAGCACATAGAAATAAGTTAAATTGGGGTAGTTAGTTGCACATTCCCTTCTTTCTAAGAACGCCTAGGTTCGGACTTGGGGTTTTTTTTTGAGTTTTTTTGTTTCCTAAAAAACAATCTTAGCTTTACAACAAATTTTTATGGTAAAAAAAATACGAGTTGGTATTGTTGTATGCATAAATAAAAATAAAAATATATTGTTGTACTAAAAAAAATATTGTAAAATAAAAATGAATTACATGCATACATGCTTCAGATTTAACTAATCAAAAACTTCATGCTGGAGGAGAATAGTATTGCGTAATGGCGTATGCAGTCTGCAATGCGGTGAGAATCAGAAGGATAGTTGCTACAATCCAGGAGGTGGCTTTCCATGGATCTGAACAATAGTTACGCTTCAATGTTTTTCGCCACTTCCTCGATGCTGTTTGGTAATCCTTCACTCGAGTACAGAGTCCATCATAGTAGAAATAAGTAAGCACCGTGTCGCAGTAAAGCTTGCTGAAGAACTCAGAACCATTTTCAGCGCTCAGCCAGTTACGTATAATTCCCTTGTCGCAGAGAAATTTTATATCGTTGCTAGAACCGAGGAGGTTATCCATCAGAACGGCATAAGATGTGATTTTGTGCGAACGACCATAACAGCATTGCTCCAAGGCGATCAGGTTCCTGAATATCGATTCAGTTAACTCTCCAATTTCTAGATGCGGAATCATAATAACCCCATTCTCGCATTCTATGTTCATTATGCTTTTACATTTATCGGAGCTCATTTTGAATCTAATGCCGGCCTCAGAAAGAGCAGTTGCTGAAGCTATCAGTTGTACCTTTGCATCGTGGAAAGGTTTCTCGTAGCGTTCAGTGAAGGAGAAAACTATGGAAGTTCTTATGAGATCGAGAATGTGGACCACACTTTCATCCTCTTTGTAATTATTTTCTCTTAGATGATCCAGATGATCCAGATACCACCGGCAGTTATGGGACAGTTGTGGTTGTGAGCTGAGCGCGGTGAGGATGAGCACCGAGAGGCAGGGCTCAGGGTTCTGGTAATACTTGACGGTGAGCTCATATACGTCCTGGAGGACAAACCAAGGAATCTGATTTTCTAAGAGCAAGAGGTCATGGCATATGTACTGGAACATGCAATCCATGTTGAATAAAGGGTCATTAATGTCCCTCTGTTCCTTATACACAAACTTCCTAAATATTTGTACTAGGAAGCAACCATCAAGTATCATCATGTGGAGAAACTCCATTTTCATCGGAGGATCAAATGGATGTGCATAAAAATCACGAGCTTTTTTCTCAAACTCAGACATGGCTTGTAGTTTCTTGTGATCTAAAATGTAATTGACGAGTTTATTGATCGATGCTTCTAACTCCATATCCCTGTCGTGTGACCTATCCATGTGTAAGAGAAGGTCGCGCAAATACTCGTATTTCAGATTTTCCATAGCTTGAAATTGTACATTGTCTCGTGGATGATAGGGCCCGATTGAGATAATGTCAGGTGCGTATGCCAGTACGTTATGTCTGCGGAGAACTTCAGGAACTCTGAAGATGCACCTGGGAAGCTTTGGCGTCGAGGTGTTCTTCGACGCTTCAAGTAAAATGTCTATGTCCATAGCGATTAATTATGATTCCAATCCAATTGAGCAACCAAAACGCAAAGTACTCTTTTAGCCGGGAAAGCACACCACAACTGACAGCAAAACGAAATCGTTAGGGTTTCATCCAAATTAGCAAAAATTCAAAATAAAACTGAAATAAAATCATTATAAAACACACCTTAGCTAAATAAGATCGATTCCGCAGTGATCTGAAGACAGGCCGCACCCAAAGGGGTGGAAATCGGCCAAAATTCCGGCCACAACCCGGAAATCCCAGATGGAAAAAAGGACAAACACTGCGAATAGATTCGCAGGATTGAGAAAATTTAGCAAACGGACGTTGATAACGGAGACCAGAAATATGCAAAGGCTGGAGAAGGAAAAAAGGGAGTGCGAGAGAGAGAGAAGAGAGATGGAAATCAGAAAGGAGCAGGAATGATGATCGATAGGTGGAGAAGATGCGCAAAATCGCCATTTTTCTGTGCAAAAGTGGAGAAAAATAACACTGAGAAGATCATTTTGGGGGCATTATCGTCCAGACATTATAGATAAACAGTAACCCAAGTTTTAGTTTATATAATTTTTTTTTTCCTCGCATAATTCAGTTTGCAACCCAAAGCTGCATGACCTTTTTTTTTGGTCAAACACATCATGTGGACTTAAAAGTAAAATGTTTTATTTTTTGGGTTTTTTTTTTATATCACAAAAGATTTTTATTTTTTTTGACAACTCATCCGTTTGATCTTTTTATGTTTCAAACTCGCTCCTTTAATTATAGTTTTTGTCATCAAAATTCCGATCTATAACTCGGTCCTAAGAGCAAGTCCACCCATGGAGCCTTCCCCCCTGACAATCCATTATTGAATCTACCCTATTGAACAGTAACTGCCTTAAATAAATAGTAACTGCCATTAATGAACAGTAATTGTCATTTGCATCTCCACCCTTGGAGCCCTCCCCCTGGCAATAGACAATTAAAATAATAGTTTTTTTTGTTTGTTTAAATAAACAATTATTTAGCGAATGATTTCGATAAGATTTTTATCCAATGTTATCGTGTCATGTGTCGTTATCTTTTCAGAATCTTTGGTAAAAATAAATAATTTTTTATACATTAAAAATATTATAATATTAATCCAATTAAAAAAAAAATTAAAAAAAATTAAAAAAAAAAAAAAAACAGAAACCCGAACCCAGATCCATTTCTTCCACCTCTCCTCCCACCCCCGAGAACCCCCTGCAAAAACCAGAACCCAGCTACCTCCCCCCCCGGCCGCGACGACCCACCCCCACCCCCGCCCCCGCGACGACCCACCCTCCCCCCCCCCCCCCCGCGACGACCCACTTCCCTTCCGCACCCATGGAAGCCCAGCTCCGGTCCCCTCTCTCTCTCTCTCTCTCTCTGACACAAAAAAAATCTCTGGTCCCCCTCTCTCTCTCTCTCTCTGACACAAAAAAAAATAAAAAATTGCAAAGCCCTCGGGCCACAGGCCCGTCGACTCCCCACCCCCCCTTCGCTCGGGCTCCCACCGTCGCTCGGGCTCCACACGGCTGGAGCTCAGTCCACATGGCCTCGGGCCCTTTCCTCTCCACTGTCCCCCGAGCAACCAGCAAGGCTGGAGTTGCTCTAAAAGTGAATGTCATGGATAATTTTGATGACCAAAGCAATAGTTAAAGAACCAAACTGATGAGTTGTCAAATAACTGGTTTGTTCACCTTTTGCATTTCAACTTAATCATCCATTTTACGTAAAAACCCACAGAGACTAGTAAACCTAAAGGGGTAATTACACAAACACCCATTGAAGATTTCTATGTTTTCACAAAACTCGCTCAGATTTATAAACTTACATTAATACCCCCTAAGATTTTAATTCATTTTCACGTAAACCCTTCAAGGACAAGTTTACCCTCATTGCTAATTAATTAAAAAAAAATTAATAGAAAAAATCAAATTTGTTACAGTCTTATTAGATTAGAAAAAGTCAAACATGTTGACTAAATAGAAACCATGTTGGATAGTGGCCAACTTGGCATCCACTTTCGGCTAAGAGCAATTCCACCCTTAAAAAAATGCGCCAGCACCCAGCCCATTTAATCCACTTACTGAACAGTGATAGACCATAATGAACAATAATAGACCAAATGCATCTCCACTCCTAAAACTAAATAGCCTAATCAATTTTATTAAAATTTTATTAATTTTTATTATAAAATAATAAAAATTAATCACTCTCTCCCTCACAATCTTCAACCTCACCTCAATCCCTCTCTGACTCACCCGATTCCCACAATCCAATCCACACCCACATCTTCCTGCATCTCATTTCACAGCTATACTCCACAATTGCAGTCGTAGTGGGACGAAATCTTGACGTCTCTACATCTCCACATCTTCCTCGCTTTGCCCCTCCCATTTGCTTCATCTTCCTTGCTTCACCCATCCCACTAAGCTCATTTTCAGTTTTTCGCCGTTGGGAGAATACCCAAATACCACAGCCCAATTGAAAATCGGCCGGCGAGATCTTCGAATTGGGGTGGAAGGAAAGCAGAGAGCTTCAAATTCAGCTCAAGGAGGAGTGGCGGTATCGCCTGGGGTCATGTAGGCCGGGCAAGGTGTCACGCCCTAAAATTTTTATTTTATTTTATTTTTTTTTTTGGAGCATGAATAACAAGGGTAACTTAAAGGTAGTAACAGGTGTCTGTGTTGAACTAAAACATTTCATTAAACAAAATAATTTACATTGTCATTACACGTAAGAGAAAACGACAACAACTCCATAACAAGTTTAAACTATTTATAAGCAGTCTCTTTCTTCCGAGTCAGCCACTAGATTCCTGTCTATTCTCCTGTAACACAACTAATAAGGGGTGAGCTAAAAGCTCAGTAGGGGCCCAAGGTCTCACGTGATTAATATTATGAATGTTATGAATATTTTATGAATAATGTAATGCAAGAACAATACTTCTTTTCTACCCAACCCGTTAACCTATATATTGAAGCAACCAGACATGCATGTCCCATACCATGCATTTTACCACTGTGGCCCCGAGTGCTTTAATATATAGAATAACCCCCATCAACTCACCCAAGTTCATAATCCCTTTTGCTAGTCATCTTATCTGATTCATTGATCTCCAGCCCAAATCACCCACATCGACAATTTCCGTCGATATCCTATTCTATTGTGCACATCGGGCTCGCCTGGAACTGGTTTCACAATGAGCAGACTCAACTACACAAAAGCTAATTTCCACCTTTTCCCACAACACAAGTAACTCATTTACTTCTTTGACAAATGATAATGATCATGCCAATATATAATATACCACATAACAATCATATCTAAGTCAATAGTTGAATACATCTCAAGTCCACATAACAATATTTCCCGTAATACAAGTAACAAATGCAATCAATTAATTCCCCAAATTCCCCTACCTTGAATCCTCTCTTCTTACTCCACGAGTACTTCTTTTGCTTATCTCCTTTTAACACTCTCTTACACACTTTCTACATACGGGGCGTATTGCACTTTGCAAGAGGAAAAATCTAACACATATGGAGCATTGCTCCTATTTATACCATAAATAAGGCGGCAAAGTGGTTCTCATTGGTTATCAGTTTCAACATCAAATGCTACTCCACCATTCCACGTTAGCTATAGGCTTGCTTAATCACCAACCTAGGCTTCAATAGTCATCACCCTAAGGTGCTTACTAAGCACCCTAAAAGCCCTACATGATAACACCTCAACTACATTCTTTTCACCAACAAGTTAATCTAATGTCCTTGGGTCGGCATATGGAGTGAACTACGTGGCAAACTTTGCCACTCCAAGAAAGCCATTTGACCTCACTTTCCTAGTCCAAAAGAGTTAATAACCATTTTATAAGGTTCGTAGTAAATTAATTTCAACCCAAACTTAACTAACCTAAGTTAAATAAAAGATGTCCCCCTTTAAGCAAGATTAAATAAAAAGAGAAGTCTAAAAGTTTAATCAAAATGAGCACGTAGGAAAAAGGTGTATAAAATTAAGAAATTATGGGACTCCACAATCTACCCTCCTTAAATAATTTCGTCCTCGAAATTTAAAACATACCGGTGACGAAAAATAATTCTGGGTACTTTTCTCTCATTTCAGCTTCTAATTCCCATGTAGCTTCCTCTACATTCCCATGTAGCCAGAGAACTTTGACTAACGAAATAGTCTTTGTACGTAACCTTTGATCCTTATGGTCTAATATCTGTATCGGTCTCTCTTCGAATGATAATTTCTCATCGACGCTCAGTTCTCCCCAATTTAGAACATGTGTTGGATCCGGCTGATACTTCCGAAGCATTGAGACATGAAACACGTTATGTACATTCGAAAGTTGGGGTGGTAATGCTAACTTGTAAGCCACCTCTCCAATTCGTTCTAATATTTCAAAAGGTCCAATAAATCTTGGAGCTAATTTTCCAAATTTTCCAAATCTTTTAACTCCTTTTCTTGGTGAAACCTTAAGAAAGACATGATCGCCAATGTTAAACTGTAATGGCCTTCTCCTTTTATCAGCGTAATTCTTTTGTCGACTTTGAGCAGTAAGCAAGCGTTGTTTAATAACCTTGATCTTCTCTGTAGTTTCTTGTATTATCTCTGGTCCTAGTAAAACATTTTCACCTACTTCCGCCCAACACAAAGGGGATCGGCATGGTCTTCCATAAAGTGCTTCATAGGGTGCCATCCCTATACTTGATTGAAAACTATTGTTGTAAGCAAATTCTGCTAAAGAAAGATGATCTTCCCAGCTTCCATGAAAATCCAAGACACAAGCTCGTAGCATATCTTCTAAAATTTGAATAGTTCTCTCTGATTGACCATCAGTTTGGGGATGAAATGCACTACTAAAATTCAATTGAGTCCCTAAAGCTCGTTGCAAACTATCCCAAAACTGAGAAGTAAATTTCGAATCTCTATCCGAAACAATTGACAATGGAATTCCATGTAATTTAACTATCTCTTGAATATAAAT